CTCAACAGTAGAGCGTTCGGTAAACAGTTCGGTGATTTTTCACAGTTTTATTATAATTTTTCAACGAATATCTGTGAAAAATCACAGAAAATCTGTGAAAATCACCTAACTGTTCACCGAACGTTCAGCTGTTGAGATTTCGGTAAAATTTCACAGATTTCGGTAAAATAATCTTAGTGTGTGAGTGGTTTTCCATTCTTGAGATATTCGCGGAAAAAGACATTGTTTACATTTGCGACATTGGCTCGTATGAAATGCTATGGTTGCATACTCAATAAGCATTGACGTTGATGACGACTCTGCAACTCTTTTCTTCTATGGTAAAATGCCAAAAGCATCTGACAATCTGTGCATGAAATCTAGCGAACTTTGTCTTGTCTCTTCACTCCACCATGGTATCAGTGAGGCACCGTCTCTTCACGCAAAGCTTGACAGGATCTTATGAGATTTTCATAGGAGTGAAAGGATAAGGAAATTTCCACCATGTTTCATGCACAGACAGACGTTTGTTGATGGGGATTTACCATAGGAGTAAAGAGTTACAGAGTGGCCGAAAAGGCAATTTGCGAGTTTCAAGGTAATGCGGCCGTTCTTTTTTCGACTAGCTCTACACACAGAAAAAAATTCTGAATTTTAACTATCGCGTAAAATCTCCCTTCGTTTAATTTTGAGCTATACTTGGCATAAACAGCGAAATCTTTTACAAGCTTGCATACAATATTGCAAATGTATGCGATATTGCGCTTAAATTTACACGAAATATCGCGTAAATTTAGGCCAAATCTAGCGTTAATTTTATGTGCGCTATATCTCGCAGAAATTTACATGAATTTTTCGAACGATGCAGGGGGCTTATCAAAGGATTTTTACTAGTATTTTCAAATCTATCAGAAGCCAATCAAGAGCGTTATTAACCAGTAAGTGTGCTTTTAGTAAGTCTACTTATGAATGTTATGATTTCAGCACGAACTATTATGTTGTTGGATATTAACGTTTACCTTTTTATAAAAAAAACTAGGGTAAGTATGCCAGTTTAAGGCCTTATTGGTCCTCGAATTGGCGCTATCTTAAATTTCCCCTTTTTACATTATTTGATTTTTTTTTTGATATAATGTTCGAAAATTTCTTTTGTCGTAAATCCACGCAAACAAAACCATGATTTTTTTGATATTTGATTTAAGCCCTTGGGTCAAAAACTGTACCACTAGTGTCAAAACTGGTACACTTACCCTACGCAAAATAGATCTAAACGATCGACTCGTTTGTAAATAGTGCTTATGTTGAAAAAATAGCTGTCCCTGGTAGCTTTGAGTCAGCTAGCTGGGAGTCCCAGCCTGGGACCTTAGCCATAGTGGTCGATAAAAGTTTTAATAAGTAATGAAATTGGGTTGTTAGCGGAATGCTCAAATAAAACAGCAAAAAAGGTTATCTTCCATTTAATTCCACTTAATTAATTTGGTATGGATGACAGATACGTATTTCGACTACAATGTGACACTGATGAAGACTGCACATTGTAGGAAAAAAGTTTGTTAGGATCCTGTTTAGCCCCTCTTTTGCCTTTTAGATCAATCGTCCCACGTTTTTTTAGTACAAAGTAATTGGAGTAGTTATTTGTGTTGGGATTTGAGCAAAAAATTTCAATTGGCCGCAGTTGAGAAACATATGGAGGGTTGAATCGTTGAGTATTACAGGTATCGAAGCGTTTGGTTTGATTTATCGTCCCGCTTGCAAAATTCTTGCGAATGGAACGATGGTCACCTCAAAACACTGCAACCACTTGTTGCAAAATTTTTCTGCTTCGCTCTGGACTTCAAAATGTGTGCTGTAAACTCCTGATTTGCGCGGTCGTATTTTTCCTCAAAGGTTGATGCAATTGGTTCCGAACAATTCTGAAAAAGTTTTTTACGAAAAAAATGGTTCATATATCCTTCATCTATGTTTTCAAAAATAAAATTGAAAAAACATACCTGCACAAATTTAGAATTAGAAGAATTAAACGAGTATTCGCGAGGAGTTTCAGCACTTTTCTGCCATAACTACAGAAAAACAATACCTATCAGTTTCAAAATTGGGCTGTAAACAATTAAGGTAGCTTACCATGCCATTTTAGGATTAACGTTGGTGGCATAAAATATCGGCGAAAAATGTCTACTTTTTTAAATGCAAAAATTAACATATTTTTTTGCTGTGTGAAGCAAGGTGATGAATTTGTTAAATCCAGCTATATAGTTATAAAAAAGGACGTAAATAGTCAACGATAAACAAAGTCATAAGTTCAGAAGTGCTATGAAGTTATAGAATTATAAACCACTCTATTATCATTTTAATAGAATTGACTACCCCCTTGATACCCTTTCTCATTCTACAGCTTTTTTTTTCCTTTTTATTTAACGTCGGTCTCTGTTCCGCAATCTAGTGGCAATCACTGACGGACATCGATTGCCATCTATTGACGGCAATCGAATGTGCAGGAAGGCAGCTTCCACACCTACGTAGGATATCGCACCCATTCATCAACACACATGGGCCGGGACCAACGGCTTTACTTCCCTTCCGAAGGAAGACGTGACCAGAGATTTTTATGCCTCAGAAAAATCCCACCGACCTCGACTGGGATTGAACCCAGACCCATTGGGGTGAGAAAGCAGTCACGCTTACCACTACACCACCGGCGCCGGCTACATTTTACAGCTGGTATAATCAATTTGACAGATCGATGTATTTCTATACCACTTGAAATCACTGAAATGGGGTTGATTTTGGATGATCAATTTCCACATATGTTATGTGTCTATAGTTTAAAATGACCTCTTTAAGTTTGATATTTGACGTTAAGCATCTCCAACTATATAACATTTACAGGTTTTTTTAAAGGGTGACTTATGATCGGAAGTTCTAAAATAGTAGCTATTTACAGCTCAGCGAGATGTGGTTTGCTATTCCTGGAATGACATAGCGGTTGGTCCAATAGTCGCTATACTTAATTCTGGAACCAATCTGAGCTGTCAAAAAGCGAATCCAATCGAGCAGTACTGAATTTTGCATTTGAAGTATTGTGATCGTGCTATAATTTCTCGAGCAATACTAGAATATGTATTATTATTTCTATGGTGTTCATCACGGTTCATATGAAAAACCATCGTAATTGAGTTTACAGATAATAATAATGTTCGTGAAAAAAAAAATAGCAAACGATGCGAACGGAATAGCCAGAAGGAATATTTTCCCGTGGTCCGGTTTGGTTTGAAAACTTACGTTGCCATTTATTTGTTTTTTCTTCTCCATCAGACTATAAATATAGCGACTATAGTTGGTCCAATCTTTCCGAAACCACTTCATATGAAAGTGGACCACTCGATTAATGGTGTTTACTTTGCATGTATGCATGCATAGCATACAGGGAAACAAATTTAAATGTCCAAAAACGCTGTGGTTCAACTATCTCCAAGAAAAGAAGAGACAAAAGGGATATATAAAAATGAAATTGTTATTGCAATGCACATTCCAAAAATGATAAATAACAAAAAAACATTCCACATGAATACGCACAAATCAAAACCCATCTGTTTTGCCCCTTGTGCGTCTGTAACCTACCTCAATTCTACACATCTAGCGTTCAGAATCATACGAACCTAACTGCGACGATCGATTCTCTTCATAGCTTTCTCTGTTGTTAATATCTTGACTGGATTCACATTTCTCGGTGCGTTTGGTGATGCTTTTGCTAGCTAATTCAACCTTTCACTGTATTGTAATAATTTCAGAAAATAAGTTCAATGAACTGTGGTTTTGCGAAGAGAATCGTCGCACTTTAGGCCCTTATGCTTCTGAGCGCTAGAAATATTTCCATAAATATTCGGAGAAAGCAGTTAGAAGCGAAGCAACATCCAATCAAGGCAAGACAACGACCGATGCTGCGAGCGGCGGTCCGTTAAATGATTGAGCGTGTTAAACAATAAGCGACGAACCTCCAAGGGGTGTGGTCACTTCTTCCTTCGTTCCGATTGGGAAAGATGTAGGGCTTTCGAAGCAGTATAGTTAACAATCCGTAGATCTGTTCACGAAAAAATTGGACACCCTCTTCTTGCTTTATCAATACAACGTCAAATCAGATATTGCCGATTGTAGTGGAACGTCAAAATGCATGCTGAACACTGCATTAGGTCCTAAGTAACATTAGTCGATTCTCTTCGTCGACTTTCTCTTTCGTTAATAACTTGAGCACATAGCTGTTTGTCGTATAAGATGCTAGGTAGTTGAAAGGTTATTTTATCGATCTGAGTGCTGAAAATACATGGGAATGTCTTTACATGGCCGAGGGGATACAAAGAGAAAGTCGACGAATAAAAAAATCCATGTATATTTTCCCAGAACAACGTTATTTTCCTTTACAACTTTGTTTTAGACGTTATTTCGGTCAGATGTGATGTGTATGTGCTACAATTACAAAGACGCCATTTTGAAAATAAATTAAAACATTCAAATTGGCACAATTATGCAAAGTTTTATGCAAATCGGAGAAGGTCGAGTTTTTTTTCCATTCGTAATTTGGTGTGGAACTGATCTTTAAAAGGAGTCCACTTTTTTTCGTGTGCAAAAAGCTGTTTTGAAACCCGACCGATTATTAAATTTAAAATCTACGCCGTTGAATATTCACGATCGGTGGGCGCGATCGCTCGCTTGTTGTGTGGGGTTTGATTCCGATTTCTGAGATCTCAATGGAAATGTAAGAATTGAGAAATGCATTTACCTTGATTCAATTGCTGAAACCCAAACCTGTTCCACCAAGCATGCCAATTAATCTGAGAAATTTAACAGCGTTATTTTTTTTTTGATAACCGGGTCCAAAATAATACCTGCCAAACCAGAATGATTCACATTATCGCTCTCTCCTATATCGAGTTTTTTTCCGTCAGGTGTGTGTTGTTGAGCAGAGAGGTTAATTTTAACATATATTCAAATTCTAATTTCGCATTTCATAAACTTGAATATTCAAG